TCAAGCCAAAGTGGTAGCTAGCCATCGAAGGAATTCGCGCAGGCAAGTGATGTAAAGAAGTGATTGTTAGAGATTTAATATAAGATTGTTAGACTTAGCATATATGATTATTACAATTTTAATATATGATTTGGAACGTGAATGAAACGCTTACGAATATGAACGAAACGGTTACGAACGAACGTGAATGAAACGCTTACGAACATGAATGAAACGCGATTAGACTAATACATTTTACTGGTAATACATATATGATTATATATGTAACTTGGCCCGTTTAGACTAATACATTTTCCTGGTAATGTTGCAGAGAAGACGTCGTCATCGTCCCTCAAGCGGAAGTGGTAGCTAGCCATCGAAGGAATTCACGCAGGCAAGTGATGTAAAGAAGTGATTGTTAGAGATTTAATATAAGATTGTTAGACTTAGCATATATGATTATTACAATTTTAATATAAGATTTGTAGCCGATTTAATATAAGTTTGTTAGACTTAGCATATATGATTGTTAGAGATTTAATATAAAATTGTTAGACTTAGCATATATATATGATTATTACAATTTTAATATAAGATTAGTAGCGATTTAATATGAGATTAGTAGAGATTTAATATAAGATTAGTACCAAATTAATATAAGATTGTTATACTTAGCATATATATATGATTATTACAATTTTAATATGAGAATAGTAGCGATTTAATATAAGATTGTTAGACTTAGCATATATGATTATTACAATTTTAATATAAGATTATTAGAGATTTAATATATGATTGTTAGAGATTTAATATAAGATTGTTAGACTTAGCATATATATATATATATATGATTATTACAATTTTAATATAATATTAGTAGTGATTTAATATGAGATTAGTAGAGATTTAATATAAGATTAGTAGCGATTTAATATAAGATTGTTATACTTAGCATATATATATATGATTATTACAATTTTAATATGAGATTAGTAGTGATTTAATATAAGATTATTAGAGATTTAATATAAGATTAGTAGAATTTTAATATTACGGTTAGCAAATACATCCTATATACCTAACAAATATTTTTTGTATGCACAGATGGCTGATCGCGATGAGGAACAGATACTATACAATACAATCGCAGAGGGAAGCAGCCAATACTGGAACGAAAAAGAGGGGAACGAGGATCCAAACCAGTACTTGAACGAGGAGGGGAACGTGGAGAGGGATGCAGAGGGGAACGATGAGGAGGAGGCTAGTGGATGTCATCCCTCCGCTGGACAGAAGAGGGCACGCGGACAACGAGGTGCCGCGAAGAACATAGAGGGTCGGCACATCATAACTGAGGTGGACGAAGACGGCCGACCTAGTGCCCCGGCAGAAGCAGTCAAGAATTTTGTACGCCACAGCGGTTGGGTTGTGAGGGACAACGTGCCTGTCAGTACGGTGTACTGGCACAGAACAAGGGCACGCAGGGATAATGACAGCTTTGTCCCGGACTCAGAGAAAGAGATGCTGTGGACCACAATGCTCGAGACGTTCACGCTACCTACGGGTACGGAGAACATAGTGAAACAGTGAACTCTGAAGAAAATGGCAGAACAGTTCCAGAGCTTCAAGGGAGATCTCTACAAGAAATACATCCTGAAGGGACTAACACCGAACTTCGACGTATTCCCAAAGCTAAGGGATCATTGGGACGAGTTCGTTGCTTATAAGACAGGGCAACAAGGGCAAGCAATGATGGCCAAAAACAAAGAAAATGCCGCCAAGAAGAAGTACCATCACCACTTGGGGTCAGGCGGATATAGCGTCGCAATACCGAAGTGGGAGGAGATGGAGGCAAGTTTGATTGAGAGGGGTATCGAACCGGCCACCGCTAAATGGCCGGATCGATCGAAGTTTTGGTACTATACTCACGGTGGAACGCTTAACCCAGTTGATGGCTCCCTTGTCTTCAGCGATCAGATACACAAGGCTGTCAGTCGACTAACGGATGCAGTGGTAGCCTCTTCTCAGGGCACATTCCGACTCGACAGAGAGAAGGATGAGCTGTCACTCGCCCTACAGACTCCCGAGCATCCAGGACGAACACGAGGGAAAGGCGTGATTCCCTGGAAGATTGGATTTAAGGAGGACATCCACACGTACAGGAGTCAAATGAGGAGCAAGGGGGATACCGAGGCGAAGATTGCAGATCTTGAGTACAGGGTATCAAGCTACGAGCTCAGCATGCAAGAGGAGGTGGCAAGGAAGGTGGATGAACGTATGGCTGCACATCGGTCCCAGGATCCCCAGCCGTACATTCATCCTGGAATGGTCAGCCCATCAGGCAATCGTAGCAGTTGCGCCTCAATGGGGCAGGTCGGATCACAGAGCATGGACATCATGCAAACCCAGGACGAAACCACCTGCCCCGTTGATGAGATCACGCAGCGGACACCATGTGAGCTGCATATTCCCTTCAAGAACTTATCAATCAAGGTATGCTCATAGTTTGATGATTTTTGACTTGTACATTCCGCAAGTTGCTGCTTAGGATGATTACTAATAGATAACCTCTCATCACGTGAAGGTGGCGTCGGGAATGGCCATCCCAACGGACCCTTCCGGGACTTACCACTTCAGGCCGATTCCAGCAGGATACTCGAGGGTCGAAGTTGAGCTGGTGGAAGCCGTGTACGAGGACCTCGAGTTGGACTACCCAGGAGGAGATGGTGAGACACATCTACGAGACACAAGCCACGCCATTATACTATGGCGCAAGCGGTACATCATCCTCCCTAGGCGACAAGTGGCATCTCGTGCACCATCTCCTCCGGCTCCGCCATCTCCTCCGGTTCCTCTGCCACGTCCTCCTGCACCATCTCCTCCGGCTCCTCCGCCACCTCCTCCTGCACCATCTCCTCCGGCTCCTCTGGCTCCTCCGCTCCTCCACCTCCACCGTGTCTACCTGCACCTCCCAAGACAAGGTCTCGCCAAGCTCCACCGCCTGCCCGCACAAGGGCAACGAAGAAGGTGAAAGTTGACGCCACAAAAAACAAGGAGCCACCGTACAATTGCAGTCAAGAGGAGCTTGATGCTTATGTGGCAGGAGAAGTGAAGAGGCAACTCAAGCCTCGGAGTCCTGAAAAGAAGATACCTATTGACCCGAACGTGAAGAACTTCTTCAAGGGAATGTCCACAACAAACAAGGAGGCGTTACAGATATCGGACTATGATCGAACACTTCAGAGAGCCTATCACAAGAAGTCCAAACCAATCCCTCGGCTTGGAGAACAACCAAACCAAGAGGTCGAGCCGTTGGTGAACGGCGAAGATTTTGGCATAATGGAATTCATTTCAGACACCAGTCTAACTGTGGATCAGCTGATTCGAGGCGCACCAATCCTGAAGGCGGAAGTGCCATACAAGTTTGAACTCGGTAAACCGCTTGTCAAACCTGAACAGCTGCAGTCCCTACCGACACAGATGTACAAATTCCATGAATGGTACATGGAAATGAGCGCCAAGGGTAGAGAGATGTTCGAAGCGAGGATCAGAAACCCCGACTTCTTGCAAGGAGAAGATGTTCTCTGGATCCATTTCAAGGATCTCTTCGATCTGTACCAGCTGGACGCCCAAGATGTCTCTCTTTTGAGCGCATGGATTTTGTGAGTATCTTTGAGTTCGATTTGTTTCGTTCAATAATTAGCTCCTGGCATATATGTAAGCAATAATACTTTCCTTTCATCGTTGTAGAATGGAGATTCAAAGGGCCCGACGGCGGAGGGTCTACGATACTGGGTTCATCGACCCTCAGAAAATCAACACCGAAATGATCGACAAGTACGAGAAAGACACAGAGGACAATCTCGTCCATCTCCTAGCGCAGCAGCATTTCAAGACGTACATACTACTGCCGTACAACACAGAGTGAGTTTTTATTGTCGTTCGAACAAATTTCGTTCCCATAGATATAGCATGTATATTTTCATATATATCTCATCTCACGCATATTCCAGATTCCACTGGGTCCTGTTATTCTTCGACTTGGACGCATGCAGAGTCACTGTGTACGACTCAATGAATAAAGAGGAGAAGATTTTTGACAAGCTCTTCAAACTGATAGACAGGTAATATAATGCCATCTATTCCAAAGTCGCGGGGAATCTATTGCTATTATGTTGATCTCGGGTAATAATTAATTAATCATAGCTTGCAACTGCATATGTAGGGCTTGGGATCGGTTCCGTCAATTGGTCCGCGGGACTTGGAAAGAAAAACTTGGACGGAGGTTTCATTTTCCAGTGAGTACATGCATGATCCAAAATTATATTGAATTGAATCTCTAATTACAGTTAATATAAAGAGTATATTAAATCTCTCATCGTTTCTCATGTAGTGTACAAAGCAGGACCAGGGAACTAACTTATGCGGCTACTACGTATGCGAGTATGCCCACTGCCTATCAAACCAAATATGCACAACACGAGAGCTCGATGTACGTATACATAAACCATTCAAAATTTCATTGCGTATCGATTTGTTAAGTTGTTTATTAATTTCATATATTGATACGTCATTATTTTTTGAATGATAGCGTATTCACATGAGGGATAATCTCCCACAAAAGGATTTTATCACGGCTGTTCAATAACAACTGATGGGATTCATTATCGAAGAAGTCCTTAATCCCGATGGTGAATTCTACTACGACGGATCGACAATTCATAACGTCGGTCCTTCCTCTTCTGACATAACGCCGGCGTCGAAGTCGTAGCTATAGCTACCGAGCAAATGAATTGTACTATATATGCATGTATATATATATTTATATATGTACACATTTACTTTAGTGTTAATATATATTTTGGTAACATATTTGCACATAAAATGTTAAGTGCTTTAAATTATATATGTGTGTGTGTAATATATGATTTATACATATACACACACACATATATATATATATATATATATATTATATATATATATATATATATATATATATATATATATATATAATCAACCATGCAGCAAACAGGGCTATGCAAATAAAAAAAAATAGTGCACCGATCTTTAGTCCCGGTTGGTAACACAAACCGGGACTAAAGGGGGTTACCAACGGGACTATAAACGTTCTTCTGTTCTGGTAGGAGGAATGGCACCCCGCCCTGCACTGGATAGCCTGCAATGGTGACAATCTGTGCTTTCCCGGTGACCCGGCGACGTCGCAGCCGGCCTTGACGCTGTGCTCAACAGACACCCACCCAAAAACGTTCTTTGCCCATCCCTTGATGAGCAGAAAGCAGGAGTTGAGGGACAACAGGCCCGTCAACTACACGCGATGGAGAAGCTCCGCCGATGGTGGTGACTGACAAAGCCTGCCTCCGACAACGAAGACCACGGATTCGGAGTCCGGCCCGGTACCAGCAGCATGGCGCCAGCGGTAACTAAGCTGGGGGCATCCCTCTTGCGTGCGGTCACAATCGAGGCCGTTAGGAGGTGGTCGAGGCCGGCCGGGCAGACGACGGCGTGTTGCCCATGACCGGCAGGAGGAAGCTTCGCCTGCCACCAGCATGGGAGACCTTGCTTACATTCCACGAATCAAGACCTCGAAATACAAGATCCCAAACCAACAAAAAAAGCACTAGTAGTAAGTAAAGTAAGTAATGATTTGCTCTGAAGAACAAAGAACAACACAAAATGCAACAGAGAAGACTGCTCTAACCAGATTTACAGTTTGCATCTGGTGTCCTCCTTGCCTCGCGAGCACTACCACCAATCCGGGGACGATGGTTGAGACGAGAAGGCGATGCTGAACAAACCTGTCTCCATCAATGCCGTTCGTCCGTGGTCTCCTTGGATCACACCAGCACCGGCACAGTGGGACGTCTTCCAACGATGAACCCATTCCAGATCCACCCATCCCCATCAGCAAGGACGAGCACCTTGGCAGCGGCGGCGACACTGGGGACATCGCCAGACGGAAACATGACCGCCACCCGCCATGTGGATACGGGATCGATGTAGAGGGTATGCAGTAGTGTCTTCCTCCCGATGCCGCTGCTCGTCGCCGTTTCCTCCACCTAGGAATCGCCGCCCACTGGACGCCGCCGCGGATGGAGCCTGATCCAAAAAACACGCGTCGATCCGAAAAATTAGGATCATAAACAAAAGAATGAGAATGGTGGGTACAGCTGTAGCAGCACCTAATATAAATAGACACGCATTAGAAAAAAAATTACTTATAAGAGTATGAGCAGGATATGTGGGTAGGAGGGTTGGTAGGGGAGTTAAAATATTATGGATAGGAATGGTGGGTGGTTGGGTGCTGTGAGGAGAGCCATTTAGCTAAATGGCACGTTAGGGTGCCATGTAGTAGTTATATATATATATATATATATATATATATATATATATATATATATATATATATATATTCTATACCCCCTCCCGATCCTTCTTTTCTTCCTCAAACATTCTTTTTTCTCTTTTCTAGGAAAATAAAAAATAAATTGCTAAATTCAAGACTGGAACCCATAATCTCATAGTTCAAAGCAAATTCTTCTAACCAATTCATCTAATGATGCTATTTGTTTCAATAATTTTGTGAGAAAGTAATATGATTATCAGGAATTGAAACAAAATATATGGGGTTAAAGCCTCACATGCTAACCATATACTTGTTACTGCACAAAAGTAGAAGTGTTACTACATAATAGGTGCATGTTACCACTTCTAAATAGTTATGTTACTGCACGATAATTATAGTTTTACTATATCATTTTTACGAGATGAAAATCGAATAGGTGGGCTATAGGAAAAGTAGTAGGTGGCTTTGAGCGAGGTCTGATTGATGTAGAAGTGTTTTGAACAAATTTATACATTTGGTAAAACTAAGTTATTGCGTGTATGTGCCCTTGTTACTGCAAATTACATATTCTGTTACTGCATGTGGAGGGTTAAAGTTTAAAAAACCAATATTTGAAAAGCAATATCTCACAAGATAAGTATTATTTTTTAAAACCATTTTCACAATGATGCTATAGTGTTACTGCATATGGAGTGTAGAACTTCAAAATGCATCTACTTACTCTCCTCCTCGAGAAACAGTTCTTCCTCCCTCTTCTCAAGAAAACCGGTCTTCTCCCTCCAATATAGTGTTATTGCATGAACGTATACGACGTTACTGTACTTTTGACGGTAATATTGCGGTGAATTGCAGTAAATCAGAAATTGAAACAAAAAATATATGGGTTCAAAGTCTCACATGCTAACCATATACTTGTTACTGCACGAAAGTAGAAGTGTTACTGCACGGCTTATACACGTTACCACCTGACAGTTACATATTACTGCATGTTTATGTAGTAACACTATCCAAGAACTGCAGTAAAACACTTTGTTTGTTACTGTAGAACATATAGAACGTTACTACACGTTAAACTGAGCCAATTCCCCTCTCTCCATAATATTGCACTTCTTTTCTTACTATACACATTCTTGCAGTAACGTTATCAATAAATCGCAGTAACATGTTTCTGTAAAACTTATAATCGTTACTACATCATGTAGTAATGGTATGATGTGATTGCAGTAACACATAGCAGACAATAGTAATACATATGATATAGTATTACTGCTTGTAGAGAGTTAAATTTAAGAAAAAACAATCTTTAAAGGGTAATATCTTTCACATCATGTACTACTTTTAAAAACGGTTTGCACCATGATGTTAGAAAAAAAGTGCTTACCAAAAGTAGATCCGACATGACTATATTATGACTATATTTTAATATTATTACTACAAGTAATACATGGTGTTACTGCACGATGAACATCACATTACTACGTTGTTTGGAGACGAGAGCTGAGAAGAGTGGAGGTGGTGGGGAAAGTCACATGCGAGTTTGACCAACTTGGGGGACCTTTGATCGAGGTAGGAGAGGGGGTTTGCCCTCTTGGAGGGAGGGGAGGTGGGTTGGAGGGAGGGGGGTATAGAATAACTATTCTATTTCTATACCCGTGTATATATATATATATATATATATATATATATATATATATATATATATATATATATATATATACACACACACACATTAGCGCTTGGCGCTACGGAATTAGTAGCGCGCCTCTGAGCGCTCCTTCTCCTGGTTTTCCATTTTCTCTAAGGCCACTCACAGTGCAAGCTATGGGGCCCATACCTCTAGCCCAAAAAATTGGTCTATAGACACTCACCCCACAGTGCAAGCACCCCTAGTTGTGTGGTTTAATTGGATAGAGCTACTCTGGAAGGAAACCAAGCCCACAATGGGCGTTATCCCAACGCGTGGACACGCACAGCGGCACCAAATTTGTTCCCTAACTACCTTCTCGACCTCTCCTCGAGCGCTTCATCTCCATTGCTCTCTCCTCGTCTCCTTCAGTGCCTCGTCTTCTCCTCCTTGACTCCATCGCCATCGCCTTCCTCCCATCGACCGCGCCACGCGCCCACGCCGCTTCTCCTCCCACGCTGCCACTCCACTTCTCCTCCCGCGCCGCCGCTCCACTTCTCCTCCCACTCCGTTTCTCCTTCCGCGCCGCACCTCCTTCCCTTCCCTCTCTGTCCCCCCACCTTTCCCGACGATCCACGCGCGCGGCAGATGGATCTGCCTTTCCCGTCAGTGGTGGCGGCTAGGGCGGCGGGAGGCATCCCCGGCTACTGCGGCGGTGCCGGCCACCACCACCCACGCCACCGCTCTTCCTCCCGGTCCGGCAGCGGGTGGTAGCGAGGAGGAGGAGGAGGAGAAGGAGGGGGAGGAGGAGGTGTAGATCCGGCCTCGCAGTCGACTGCGCCGACACACCTCCTCGCCTCCCACGCCGCGGCGGTGCGGCCTCAGCGTGGTGGAGCTGGTGGACAAGGGCGCTGACGCCGCGGCGACCGACGCACGCGGGAAGCGTCCCCGGGAGGCGCCGGCGCAATGTTTGCCGGCTCGTCGTCGTGGCTGGGATGCGCCGCCTTCTGTGATGATTTTGCTTTCTTTTTCTTTTTCATCTTGTTGAATCCGATCTGTTCTTCTCTTCCAATCCCCAAGATTTTCTTGCTTTTCTCTATCAATCCGATCTGTGGCGGGAGAAAGAATGCTATGGCGGGAGGGGATTTTGGGAGGGCGAATCGGGAATTTTGCTGCCGCGTGAGGGGATTTTGGGCGCTAGGGCACGCGCGTGCGAGGCTACGCCACCCACAGCGTGCGCGACCCGCCTCTTCTCCTCGCTGCGTGCCCTCGTTTTGGCGAGGTTCTGCGCTGCTCTGTTGGGGGACGAGAAACCTAGTTTAGGCGCGGGCGCTTGCTCCACGTCGGCGAAAATCCGAGCTGCCGCAACTAGAATCCGCGCCAGCTCGGTGCACTGTGAGAGGCCTAACTAGTCCACCTCCTATCTCTCTCCTCTGTTTTGTTCCCACCCCTCCTATCTCGAGTTAAAAAATTACTGACTACCTCACAGAGCATCGCATTTCTGTTTTTTTGGTTTTTCCTCATTGACGTGCCAAAGTACTTCCTTCTTCCGGTCTCCACGTGGCCTCCCTAGGGCCCTTTTTCTTGATATATCGGTTCCCACCACAAGTAAAAAAATTACTGAGTAAAAAAGTTACTCATGTCGCTATCTTTGCATGTAGTAAAATTTTTGCTGAGCAAAGTCAGGGCTCGATAATACTAGGAGTATCAGTAAATTTTTCACTCCTGTAAATATTTTACATTACTCTCAATTTGTTTGCAGTAATATTTTTATTACATCAATTTTTGTAGTTATTTTAGTTAGTAATAAAATTGCTTAATCATTCCATATTGAAAAATATGTGTAAAAATGTTCAGTCATTAAAAATACGAGTATCATGTTCCTTTTACGTGCATATTAACACATATAATCAAGATTATGATGCATATTATTTTTACATTCAATCATCCATATCAACCATTAAAAAAAAATCTCCCGTGGGTAAGAAACTACATAACGTAGGAGGAAAACAATACGCATCTCCCATGATTATATATACAAGTGAATATATGTATATAAAATTTCAATTATTGTAATATGTGGATAGCAATTTTTTTTACCACGGATGAAATATCAATAGTTATTTTTTTACTGATAGACATGAGTACATAAAATGGAGAGGTCTATTGACCACGACGTAGCATGATAGAATTGAATCATTAAAAACAGTAGTTATGTTTTTACTCCACTGTCCATTGTTACACGAGGGAAAATATGCAGTGTAAATTATATGCATAGTGGAAATCTAAAAACTACTGCTGTTAGCTCAAAAAAATAGACGTTTGAGATTTATCCATGTCATTATGAGTAAAAATTTTACTCGCAAATTTACTCATGAGTAAAATTTTTATTAGGAGTTAAACTTTTACTCATGGTGACATGTACGAATATCATATATCCATTTTTCGATCCAATATCAGTTTCTAGGTTTCTACTACACATGTGGTTTGCATTACATATTTTTCCATCACATGCGGATTGTGTAGTGAATCACATGTATAAAAATGGTTACACAAGGTGATTCACATGAGTATGAGTTAAGAAGATGTGAGATGTTGTAGATCTTTATCCATTTTGTCAAGTCTCCTGAATGTGTAATACATTTGGTCTCCGCCTTCGAGTGGTTTGACGGGCACATCTTAGGCTGAAGTTGACTGGCAGGCTAAAGGCCCAACAATGTCTCTAATATTCTTCTCTCGAGGCGGGCATCTACTTCTATTTCACCATGGATCTTATATGGAAGGAATAGAGGGTGCATGGGTTAATGGGGATGGCATATGGCTTGGAAATTTGTTAAAAGAGAGAATGTGTTTGGGCAAACAAAAGATGACTTCCAACAGATTTTTCTGCAAGGTGATATTCTTCAAGCTGGCCATATTGCCCTGGCAACAGGTTTGGTTAGCACACCTTCTTTTCACCATTCTATTGGACCTGCAATGGTGCATCCATCCAAATCCAACTTGCAATGGTGCATCCATCCAAATCCAACTTGTCTACTAAAGGACAAAGTTGGTTTGATCTTTTACAACCATGGGTAAAGCAGGGATTGATTGTCGGTGTCACAATGCAAATTCTTCAACAGGTAAATATATGTCATATAAAATATTTAATGTACCACATTGATGGTTTTAAGTAAATGTTTGTGTGGGTAATTTATGAGATTTTCTATTTACCATTTTATTTGTAGCTTGCTGGAATT